TGTGGGCTATGTATTAGCTGTTAAAATAGACAGACTAATGTTGAAGTTAGCTAATTTCTCTCTTGGTGTGTTTGGCTATTAATGTGAACTTTTCTACCATTTGCATATCAGAAAACTACGCACAGAGAAGCACTTGACCCACTCATATTTCCTAGAGCCATGGAAGCTATATATTATGCTTTTCTATGTTTACATGCTCCACCTTTGTAGAAACTCTCATGAGCATTGGGGATGTAAATGTTGAGCTTCGTTCTCCATCCACACCTACCTATATTGATAGAATAAAAGGCTATGTAGATGGGCACTGAAGCATAATAATATGATTCAAGAGGTGTAAAATCAACAACACTAGTGTATAACTGTAGTGTATAATATGTCCTGTACATTTATAAAGATACCATACTATGTTCTAGTGTGTGTTTTCTAGGTGGAATGTCATCTTATTTGATTTCTCCCATGATTAATTCACTCTCAGAAAAACATGCCTTGAGCAATCATTTTTTAGCATAAGCCTTTTCCCTGTTGCCAAGAGCTAATAGTGAGCATCACTAAGGGTAATTAAATATAATGGGAGTAGCCACTGAAGAACTGCAAAGGCTGAAATTAGGGAAAGGAAAGATTAAGATTGCACATTCCCAATGGGAAAACTCTCCAACTTTTTGAAAAAGGATAGGGAAGCATGATCCTAAAAAATGTGAACTAACGAAGCAGCTATGAATGACTGCATTGATAGCAGATAGGTAAGACGATTTTAGGCAAGCAAGTCTTCTTGAAAAAATATGGGTCATAATTTTAACTACTAAGTCATGTTGCTTTTTGAAGTTACAAAGTAATGCTCTTCCCTAAAAATAAATAAATAATAATTTATATAACCACAGATGTAAATGCTCCTTACAAGATTAAATCAGAGAACCTTTGAGAAAACTGAAAATGTGGACAGCCTCTGAGTGCATGTGGACATCTTGACAGGCAGGGAAAACGTCTAAGAAAGTGAAATACTTACCATTTCTTTGGGGCTGGAAACCTGCAGCGCTCTTTCCTTTGGGAGTTCCACCTCTCAGTGGTTGCTCCTTCTATAGATAAGACAGTCTCTGCTTTGAGAGATGATTAATCATGGCCTAATTAACCTCCCAATATGAAATATTTATTTCAACGGTTTACCCTTCCCATGCCGTCCTTGAGGGTGTAATACCATCAGGACTGCCCAACTTTTTGAAATGTAGTGCATGATGGGAAGACAATGAGATGGTTAGAAGTGGTAAGTACATAATGGTAAAAAGGAGTAGCAGAACTGCATTCTATTAACAAAACTGTATAGGTTAGATCTGAACAAAATCTAAGGAATCTACTTACAAAAGCATGTTTCTTTTTCTGAAATAGGATTTTGTATCTTCTGCATAATGCACTCACCAATTTATTTAGAATTCACATTTAACTTTGCTCAGTTTTACCAACTGCCTTGGCCAAGTGAAGTGATTACTATGATAAAAAGCTGACTAGCAGTTGTAAGTCAGGGTGAGATCCAATATTACGTGTTTTCAATCATAAAATGCCCAAATGTTCTTGAAGTTATTAAACTATGCTCAGAACTTGCTCTGGATGCAACTGCCAAAATCATAGAAAGTCAGAATCACAGAGAGACTTCATATCCCAAGCCCAGAAATATTAAAAGTCTTAAAGGGACTGATTTATATTCTTGAGAAGGTAAAGTTTTGCCACTATTAGAGGATGGAGGGCAACATCATCTACTGGACAAAATTTTCTAATTGCCTCCACAAAGTTATCAGATGTATGTCAGTCTCATTTTATTTTGACAGGTTAGGATCAGGGACCTTGTGCTGTGGAATCATCAATGAATGTGGTGAGCTTTCATTAACAATGAGGCTATAGGGGAAAGGCATGCATCAGAATCTTCAGGGTTTCTAAAACAGAATATTTTATAACTTAATTTTATATTCAAAAAGCAACAACAAATTAGTGCTGTTAGGCTATGAACCACAAAAAGCAAAATTTTATAAAATCCACACTAGTTGAAGGATGAAATTAGAAAATTGGAACACATTAAAATGTGCTTATAAGAAATTGAAAATTATTGGGCCACAGAATTTTTCTGAAAGGTTGTTAGATGGTCAAGGAACTCTGGTCATTGAATTACTCTTTTTGCTGTTTAAAGAAATAGATGTTGGCTTCTCGTTTTGTGTTAAACCAATGGCTGGTACTCAGGAGACATATTGATAGTTTGATACTATAAAATGTTTAAATAATGCCTTCATTCATACATGAAAGTATACCACATATGACCATAGAATATAGTGAGGAATTCTAAAGAAAATTTTAAAGATGATCAGATGAATAAAGTAACATTTACTCATATGTGTGGACAGATTCTATTACAGTAAGAACTAAGTCCACTAATATTAATGTCAACTTCAAATAAATACACAAACCTTAGAAGTAACATTTTTCCCCACAAATACTTACTCCATTTCTGATGTCACTTCCTTCTATACTATTTTGACTGTATGATACACAAAGTCAATAACATATATTTAGACAAGTTATTAATGCAAGCCAGAAGTTCTACTGCAAATCAAGAGGAATATAATATATGAAACTAAAAGAGCAGTTTACTTAAGCATCTCCTTAGGAAGGAACTCTACTACCATCGATTTTGGGATTGGAATTTTTTGGGACTGACTGATTTGATGTTAATACTATGCATGCTAAAAAGTTGTGTGACTTGTAACTGTTTATGGGCTCATGATCTTGGATGCAGGAAAGGACGTAGTTAGTTTTACTAAACAATATAAAAAAATTAGTGAAATGGAGGAATGTCCAACATTTATCTCAGCACTGTAGGACAGACAAATATTCTGACACTGTGTTCTCTTGGGACATTAAAAAGAGAACACTGCATGACTGAAGGGTTGACGTCTGCAGGACTTTGAATACTTGGTGTCTGTTTTCTTTCTTGGGATGATGATACCAATTGCATAATAATAACATTTTGGTTTTTATTTCTTCAAAACATGAAAACAAAAAATGAAGTAGATGACAATGAGAAGACAGTAAACATTCCATACTGAATGTGCTGTATCACTAGTGATGAAATCAGAAACAATTAGAAACTTTATTTGTCTGTGTCAGTAATGTGTACCATTTATAAGGAACAGCACAATTAGTGCACTTCCCCCCTAAAGCTGTGCACAATACACACAAAATAAAATAATCAAACAAAATAAAATTTTATACAACCATAATAATAACAATCCGGAACAACCAGAATCATAGTTTCCTAGAATATAAAAATTTAAAAAGCAAACAAACCAAAAGCTTTCAAACGGAAATTGACCAATGCCAGAATTTCTTCAAGTTCTCTATGAAAATTTGCTACAGGATTATTGACATTCCTAATACAGCTAAAAAATGAGTGCAAAAATCTTTCTAATGTTTAAAAAACTTACATTCCTTGAGTATATTTACTTGGTGCTTCTAGGCTAGCTTTCCATTTAGCAAATCTCAGGAAAAAAAAAAAAAAAGGTTGGGAAGGGTGGTTTAGAATGACAGATAAAGAATCGTAAATGTGTGGGCCCCAGAAAAGTATTACTGCCAACAAAGATGTAAGATGGGCTAAATTGGGCCTTCTCAGTAATCTGGATCACCAACACGATTGCCCTTCTCGGTTTCAAATGGAGAGATGTACGTATTTGCAAGTTGGTCAAGGATAAAGAGGGTGCTTTTCCAGACTTATCGTTTTATGCTCTCTTAAACAAAATCTTGGGTATAAATACAATTTAGAAAATTGCTTTCATAATGTTTCAGTGTGTTTATGTTAAAAGAGTTTCATAATTGTTTTGTTTCTTTCTTGCAAGATAAAAATCTTTCCATAAGGCTTTCTTCACTTTTACTCATGAAAATAGTAATCACATTAACTGTAAACCTTCTGAGGGCAGGGATCCAGGCTGTTTTGTTCATGGCGTAGTCCCCAGAAAGTATCATACTACCTGGCACATTGAGTGGGTAACCAGCATTTAATTACTCATTCAGTCACCAAATGTCTATTAAATGATAAAGAATCATGGTTACTGAGTGAAAGAAGAAAAAATAAGTCTCAACAGCTTTAATTTATTGAGTATTAAGAGGGCTGGGCATGTCTCCAGCCTGGGATTCCTTATAGACACAGAAGTCTCCGAGAGGTGACCAAAGTCATTATATCTTTTTCTCATTGGTGGACTCACTACTTTGGAATGTTGGGTTTATCCATGTTCTTTGGTATCTTAAAAGAGAAACAGCGATTCTTTTTAAAGGGTTAAAAGCATCCCAGTCTAATCCTCCTGGGAGGTACCACTCTTATTTAATTGCCTTGTCTTTCATGTTGAGTTTATTGACATTTTTAAAGGCCACATTTTAAAGGAGACACACTTTTAAAGGCCCATTGTCACCCTGGCTTCTTTCTTATTCAGGAACTACTGATATAATCAGAGGGAACTAGACGGGACAGTGAAAGACACAGGGCTCAAAATACCTTTTACCTAAAAAAATAAAATGAACAAACCGGCACTATCTACCATCTTGGCCGGACAGTGCAGATATGAAATAAATACTTTGCAGGGAGGGGTGCTGTGGAAAGGGTGACTCTGAAAGCCTAGGCACATGCAACATATCCATATCTCTATAAGGCCTTTCTCCTTGGCCTTCCTGAATGAGTGAGTGCTTTTTAGGGGCCTCTGATGTGTTCCACATGGCTAATTTTCCACCAAGACCTTTGAAGTTTGCCTGCTCTCCTCTCAATAACTTTAACTTCACCCCACATGACAGTTATTGCTTCTTAGAAATGAATATGCAGAACCTTGAACAATAAGCCACTTTCTCCTTTTATCCCTAGTAATTAATCAAATGCAATAACAACACAAAAGTAACAACTCAGGTGAAAAGAAAACTCACTTATGTCTTCAATGTCCAGTCAATATTGCTGAATGGGAGAACAGTATGTACTCTACTATATACAGATACGCTTTGTTTTGTTTTATTTGTTTTTCATCCATGCACTGTGTAACAGCTATCACAACAACATTTCCAAACAGGCATATGTAGAAGGAGCAAATGTTCAGTCATGACTGGAACAGGATGGTGCAAGCCATGGATGCCTTTGAAAATAAAACTGACAGACAATCCCAAGCAACATCAACATGGGACGGGGACATGTATTAATGCAAATGGAAAAGGACGATGTGGTTTTTGAATGGGGTTATTGTTCCTGTATGCATAGGGGATGGCAGGTGGACAGGAGGAACAGGGCGGGGAGGGGGCGCCTGGGGGTTTAGCTGGGCTGGATGCCAGAAGAAGGGCCTTGCTTATCATGGTCCAGAGCTAAACAGATGAGAAAGAAAGCATTTTGCATGTTCCTGGGAATCTAGGCACGTTTTCCTTGTACCTGTTAAACAAGAGTGCCAGGCATCACATCCTTAAATGTCAGACTACATCTAAAAACATCAGATTTCCTGGCTCCATTCCACTCTCATGCTTCTTCTTGGAGGCAGCTTCACCTCTGCTCACATTCTGGAGATACGCATGAACTTTGGTAATACAATGAAGACATGCTTCTTTCTTCTTCCATGCCCCAATGTTTTCTTAATCCAAAATAATTTTTAAAGTGGTTGGGGAAGGTGAGGGGGAATCTCAGTGATTTAGATTTTGACCAAAAACCCATTTACATTTGGATGGTTTCACTTCCCACAAAGAAAAGCAACAACCCTGACCCTCCCAACGAAACAAAACACAACAAAATAACAAAAACAAAGCCAAACATCAACTACCTCCCCAGCCCCTCTGAAAACAAAATCAAAATCAAGAAAACAAATCAAAGCCTTAAGGATTTATGAACCTGGAAAGAGTGCAGCCCTTCTAAGACTGAGCTGCAAAGATGGCCCTGCCTCCGTGCCTTGTTCAACATGATGATGCCCCTGGGAGTGGGAGGTGATCGTTTTTGACTTCGGCCCTAGTACAGAGAGTTATGCTCTTGAAGCTGGATTCCATCAGCAGGTAAGTGAACATGACAAATGTCAGTTTCCTCTGTTCGTTATACATAATTTTTTATGTATATATATATGTATATATATATATATATATATAAATTTACTATATCTGATAGTTCCTTTAGAAGCCTTTTATGTGGCAGTAGGCCTCCAGGGAGGAGAAGAAAATGTACAAGAGCCACAGGAGCACAAAGAGGCAGGATGTGAGGAGCTTGGCAGTCCGGGGCCCACCCAGCTCACCTCCGATTTCTGGCCTCCGCCGATACAGCAGCACCCCCACATTGATGAAAGCAAAGATGGTGAAGAGAGTGACAGAGAAAGCTAGCGTGCCAGGGGACACTTTGAACTGTTCCCCATTGGCTGCGTGGTAGATGGCAGCGATGGACCAGGCCACACCGATTCCCAGGAAGACGTTCACCGCGTTGCTGCCCGTGACGTTACCTATGGAGGCGTCTGCATACTGGTCCTGTGTGGCTGCCACTTTGCTGGCAAATGTGTCTGCAGAGGAAGAAGAGAGTAGGTGATAATCAACATTTCAGAGATGTCTTTAGAGTGCTGCAAGCTTTAGCTGTGTACTCTAGGATCCAACCCTTGATATAAACCCAGTGACCAAGAACTGGCTTTGATGTTCCTTTGAATCAGATTCATGGGATGGAAAGAACAGGATCTAGATATTGGGAGTCAAGGGTTCACTGCTGGCTGCGTTGTGGACTGACAAAGTGATCTTGGTCAAGTTCTGTATCCACAGATAGTGCGGTTCTTTGTAATATTGAGTTTGCAGGGCAGGGTTTTTTTTAGAAAGTAGTCACAGCTCACCTACATCAGAATCAAGTGAGGTTCTTTTAAGGAGTGAGTATTGCAAGGTGCCATGCAGCTGTGCTGGTCGTAATGACAGCGGCCCAGGAATCGATTTAACTGTATCCTAAAAGATTCTACATCACCAAAGTTTGGAAGCAGCTGCTGGAGGGTATTACTAAAAGATGCTGTATCCGCAGCTCTGGTTTATAGATGAGAAAGTGAAGATGTCAGGGGAAATTTTTCAAGATTCAAGAGCAAGCCAATAGTGGAACTGAAAAGAATTGAACTATAATAGCATAGCTGGCCTTTGCTTAGATCCTTATGACTAAGAAAGCAGATTCAGCCGTATTACTGCATTGACTGTGATGGTAATTTTATGAGGTGAGGGAAGGAGGCTTAGAGATGACAAGTAGTGGATGCCGCATCACAACTAGGAAAAACCATGTTAGGTTTACAGCACCCGCCTCATATCTTCAGGGTTAATCCTTTCTCATTCTGCTCTTTTACCTTTCACTGTGCTGTGGACACCAATGACCATTTTCAAAGCCCTTATTTACTAATAATCCTGAGTGTATCTTTTTCTGATGATACAAAAATCTTGGTCCACTACAGAAGGTTGAACAACAGTGACTTAGACTTCTCGATGAATAGAACACAGGGGTTTAGAGCCAATTTGAACCAGGGGACTTCAGATTCTGCCTTCACAGCTGACTGTGTGTCTCCGGAAGATTACCTAACTTGGCTGGGCCTCAATTTCCTAATCTGTTAAATGGGGATAGAGCTGCTCACTTCAGAGTGCTGTTGTTAAGCTGAAATACTGCATGTAAATAAAATGCTTTTGATACTTTTTGGCAAAAAGTAGGAGACGTTCTTTTTGTTGTTTTGGAAACACAACATAAACCAAGCAGGCTAGATGAGTTTAAAAGTTGGAGTGGGGTCTGAAATAGCTTCCTGTATTAATCATGTAAACAGATTTTGCAACATATTAAATTTCTTGTCTATATGATGCCAAGTTACATCAATGTCCTGGCTGGGCACAGTGGCTCACACCTATAATCCCAGCACTTCGGGAGGCCAAGGTGGGCAGATCACTTGAGGTCAGGAGTTTGAGACCAGCCTGGCCAACATGGTGAAACCTCATCTCTATACTAAAAACACATACACAAAATTAGCCAGGCATGGTGGTGAGCACCTGCAATCCCAGCTTCTTGGGAGACTGAGGCATGAGAATTGCTTGAACACAGGAGGTGGAGTTTGAAATGAGCCGAAATCATGCCACTACACTCCAGCCTGGGGGGGATTCCATCTCAAAAAAAAAAAAAAAAAAACCCAAAACAAACCTTTCAGCTACCTTGCACAGTAGGTTAATAGCAGATATTAATAACTGTCAAATTGAACTTATTTTCAAAGCCAGTAACAGTAAACGTTAAATGATTATGAAGTGTTGTGTTATCAGCTCTGGCTCTCCTGAGGTCCCGGACATGCTCTGATAATGTCTGTAGTTCTACGATACCTGAACTAGTCTCTTCTCTCTGTTGCTATGCCATTGCCACCATCCTTCCTCGGTAAATGTCCAGTGGGGAAGAAACATACAGTATGGAAGTTTATATCAGCCCATGGGTTTGCCTGCTTTACAGTGGCTGAGGTTTTTTAGACTACTCAAAGGCTACTGCATCTGCAGTAGTTCACATTCTCTCTGAAAGGGAGTTGGTCGACCCTGAAGGCCTATCTCATTGATTCTGCCCTCTGCCTGTGATGGAAAGCAGACTTGATTATTATTTCATAATTAAAGAAGTAGGCAAATACTGCTTATTCCATGCCAGGCACTATGCTACACAGGCGACATGTATCTTCTGATTCAAACCTCTCGCAAGCATTATGGGCTAGATGTCATTATTCCCCTTTCATGATATGGTAAACTGTGACATTGTGGTATTATGCCTCTTGGATAGAGTCTTAGTCTGCAGAATGTGAATTTTCAAACCAAAGTCTGATTTCAGAGCCCATCTCAGTCCATACCACATGGCCCTTCTAGGAAGCCCAAAAAGCCTGAAGTTTTTCTTTCCTCTTAGTTTATTTCAGGTGGCCCTATTCCTTGCACTCAAACTCTGAAGCAGGTGCTTATCCAATGCTGTTTCCTGTATCAGGAGAACAAAGACTGCAGAACTTATGGGCAGTTTGTGAATCCAGACTCCTGGATTTGTGCTGCTATGTGCATTCATGATCACACATTCATGCAGCCTGGTCAGCTATCACAGACTGGTAAGCAAAAGCAAAGCGAGACAAATCTTAATGGTTTCTTGTAGTTCAGTTATTAAAAGTTAATAGAAACGGGGCAGCAGCAGCCTCAAAAAGAAAAAAAAAAAGGATGTTGTTTCGTTTTCTTTTCTGAGGTCAGGCAGTGGAGCAAGGGAAGTAAAGGAACAAGAGTCCGAGGCAGGAGAAAGCAGCTTCCAGCTCAGCTGCTGCTGAGGAACACCTGAGGTGTTATTCTGAGCTGAAATAGCTGGGAGCACTTGCTGCTGGTGAACAGATGGCCATGTTAGGTAGGCAGTTAAGGGGATGGTATTCCCTCTGTATGCTACAAGGACAAGTGACCTGGAGCCGTTCCATAGCACACTCCTGCTTACCTCCCCTGGCACCTGGTACATTGCACATTGGACTTCCTGGGTACCCCATATCTACTCAGGAACTCTGGGCTTTCTGGGTGGCACCTTTGCTGCTGTACCAGAAGGAAAGGAAGTTTAAAATGGAAGACTCCTGGGTCTGGGGACACAAAGCACCCAAACCAGTCCTTTAGGCTGACATGGAGGGCCCACTGGGTATGCAAGGATTTCCTCTCCCTGAAGCCATTTATCAGTAGCCTATTAATATGAATGTTGCATGAAGATTCTTTCTTAAAAGGTTCTAATTTTCAGATGTCTTTTTTTTTTTAATTTCCTAAAAGTTAACAGCTGAAGTGACTAGCTTGTCACGAGATAAAACATGTTTTTGGCTACTTTGTGTCTCATAGGTTTTATTTACTTGGGTTAGACATCAGGCCTTTGGTCTGTTTTTATTTTCAATTCAAAAGCAATGAAAAAAAAAATGCCGTAGGAACACAGGCAAATCCGAACCATTAACCTTAGTTCCAACAGACAGAAATCTGTTTTCCAACTGAAGTGCGATGGATTCTCCCCAAATTACCTTTTATTGCAGCTATGTTGTTCAGCACATAGGGCAACACATCACGTACCATATGTTAGGAGCTGCCAAGCCCTGCCCTGAATGTTAAGCCTGTAACTTACCTATGGTTAAACCAGGAAAATGCCATTTCCTAACAAAATCAAAGAAATAACTACTGCCTTGGGCTCGAAGGGGATATAATAATATTTAGAGGTTGGTCCATTAGATAAAAACATGTCTGAATTAGATTTCCAATGCGACTGACACAAACTATGTTGATACTAACATGTGTTTTTCCCTTCCTATATGTCTCTGGGTAGGTTTTTAATAGGTTTTGCTATTAACTCCCGCCTTGAATTCTAATGAATTTTAGATCAGTCAGACAGTTTTAGACTTCTAGTTCTGTCTCCTTGATATAGATGACTATAAATCAGTAAGAAGAAAGACTGTCGAGGCAGCATGCTGGAATTAAACTACACATCACAAAGTCAGGACATAATTGTTCTTTGCACACCTGTCTCGAGTTCATGGTATATAACCTTGTTCAAGTCATCAGGTCAATATGCAAACATAGGCCAATACCCTCTGCCTTTCCTCCAGCAATGATTCTTTGCTTAAATTTCTCAAACATTATTGCTAGTTATAGGCTAAGCCTGAAACATCTCCTCTGTAAAGAAGGTGGCTCTCACAGGTCCATCCTGCAGGATGGACGCAGGGATTATATATCATCTGGAGCAAGGGTTTCACCCCAGATAGTTCATCTTATTCTTGGTTTCTTAGTGTTCTTTGGGGACCAGCTGTTAAACTGTCAAGTGGTTCATGGCCAGGAACTGACACCAACGGTTTTAAGAGGAGTCCATCCTGGTTATGAAGGTCTGCTTGCTTTTCCCAGAAACCCGACCTTGATATATTCATTCATTGACAATGAAAGAAGCAGCTGAGGTGTACAGAGCTTCATGGTGTAGTAGTGGAAGAAGCCCCATCAAAGAGACCCTAGGTTCTTCCAACTATCTATGTGTTCTCGGCAAGTCACTTCACTTTTTTTAGATTCCAGTTTCCTCGTTTAATTAGAGTATCTCTAAGACTCTTTATAACTTGACTGTTTGGGTGGTGCACAGAATACATTAAAATACTAAATTTATATTCAATGTGTGATTTTGGTGGTCTTTTTTGATAGGAGTTTGTACATGGCCACTCTTTACAGTAATTAACTGATTATAACTATCTTATTGTGAAGAATAAATGACTTAAATGAAATATTTGAGGATCCTAGGAAGATCTCAAGACCTGAAGATACTACCTTTGATCAAACTATGACAGTATTTATGAATTTAAACTACATGGCACAGTTACTTACCTTTTAAAATTAGGTAAGAGGCCAGGCGCGGTGGCACACTCCTGTAATCCCAGCACTTTGGGAGGCTGAGGCAGGTGAATCATAATGTTAGGAATTCGAGACCAGCCTGGCCAACATGGCAAAAACCTGTATCTACTAAAAATACAAAAAATTAGCTGGGCGTGGTGGCAGGCACCTG